CTTCCTTCCTTCCTTCCTTCCTTCCTTCCTTCCTTCCTTCCTTCCTTCCTTCCTTCCTTCTTTCCTTGGTCCGCAGTGGCTAGAGTGCAGTACTGCAGGCTACTTCTGCTGCCTGCTGGCTGCCTGCAATTTGGCAGTTCAAATCTCACCAGGCTCAAGGTTGACTCAGCCTTCCATCCTTCCAATGTTGGTATCGTGAGGACCCAGATTGTGGGAGCAAGAGTCTTACAGACTCTGTAAGCTGCTTAGAGAGGGCCATAAAGCACTGTTAAGAGGTATATAAGTCTAAGGGCTATTGCTATTAGGTTACCTTACTGTGTTAAATACAACAAACTTTATTATAGCATCTTGAGAGAATTGTACACCCAACTGGCCATACCTGCAATGAGTTAAATATTGCAAACATGTACTGGAACACCAAAGCTCGTTCATTCACCGCCAGGATGCCAAAGATCCATGAACTTCCCAAGATAGGCAGGAGAACAGCAACTGCTTTAGCTGTCAATCTGTTGAGACAAAGAATAGATTTTAACCCTGTTAAAGTATTAATGACTGGGAGAGACATGGGAACAAGGTCAGCTAATGAATAGGCACAGCAACTAAGTCAGCCAATGGGAGCTTAAACAGATCTGAGTCTGTACAGAGAATTGAAACAGAAACTAAAGCAGTCTGCTGCCCTGAGAAGTAAACTAGCAGTCTACCTGGGCTTGTCTGCTGAAAGGAAGCCAACTGCTTGTGTTTGCCTGTAACTCTTCTGCCTTGTGTTTACTTGGAAGAACCACCTGTTGGTATTGTACATTTATTCATCTATTCTTATGTATATAAAGAAGTTAATGAATCCTGCTGCATTCAGTTATCTGTCTGTGCTTTCTGGATTTGATTTTTCTGCAACAAGCTCTGACAGACCCTTATTTTCATATGTAATTCTCGGAGTGGTTTTGTTCTCAACAGCAAAGAGATCGCAGCAGCATTCTCTACATGTTGTGGGTTGCAATGAGCACAATAAGGCACTGTGGCTAGAGGATGAATAGTTTGATTGATTTATACGGTGCATAAGAGAAAACTGGTTCCAGAAGGAGACTGCTAATAACATTCTGTGTAAAATCGGAAAGGAACAAAACATAGCATTATTTATACGGAGTTCTCTGGCCTTAACAGGCATATAAATTAAATGCCGAATCCTTTGAACGGCAGTCACAATTGAACAAGCCTCGCTACATTTTCTGGACGTTTCGGTGGAGATTGCGTAATTTGACCGCTGAGTCGAAAAATGTTTCAAGCAAATAGTGATTATGGATGTTAAGCATCTCAAGATGCTCCCTTTGGCTCCAAGGAAGGACCTCTGAGAAGAAGAGCCTTGGTTGATCTTGAAAAGGCTACAAGGTTTGATGCTTGAGCAAGGGATGGACAGGGATCCCCAATTACGCAGTGCATGGACCAGAAACCAGGCCACGCAAACAAGCGAAGCCCCATCCACATGATGCAGGCAGAACACAAAACCACACCCTCTCCAGTGTGTGGAGCAACCTCTATCCATGTGTTCTGACTTCCTGAGACAGTAAAAGAGCACAAGCTTAGTCCCAAAAACCCTCTTTTTATTTCAACGACTGTGAATTATGTTCATTCACAGCCTGTAATGAGTCACAAATAGTTTGTAAAGAGTCCAACAGAAGTCTGCCACAGTCCTTCGGGATAAGGCTGATAAGCACCCAACTTTATCTCCCTTGAAACACTGCAAAACACCTAATTGGCAATTAGCTTTGCAAGGCCACACGGAGCTTCAGAGTTTAAACCAACCAGAACGAGCAAAGTTGTTTCCTGCAAAGGCTCATGTGCTTTGCTCCTCCTTTATGTCTTATGGGAGGGGCCAATCATCTCCAAGCCTTACTCCCAAGTTGCCCCTTTTGTCTTAACTGTTCTTGCCTTCTGACACCTCTGCACATGGGCGCACTGAGAACAGGCTCCCCCTGTTCCTCTGCCTTGCTGATGTCCAATTCTGGAGGCTCCGGAGGCAGCACATAACTCCCAGATGACCCTGGCCCCCTCTCTGTCTCCAATGCAGAGCCCTCATCTGAGCCTTCTCCAGACTCCAGGACTGGCCCATGTTCCTCCCCAACCTTCTGACTGTCCGACTCTGCTGCCAGCTCTGCCAGCAGACTGCCAGCAGACCACAACACCATGTAATTGGTCCCGGGTGGTGCCCAAAAGTAGAGAACTTCATGGAATGGAATGGAATACAATACAATACAATACAATACAATACAATACAATACAATACAATACAATACAATACAATAC